CCAACCGCCTGACTCTATTACATTTGGTTGACAAGGTAACTCGAAGGATATTAAATCCTAGGTAGGTGGCCATCATGATTTGAACCCATTTCCTCTAAGCCCTTTGCTATTTACATTGTCCCTTATTGACCACTAGGCCATCCCATGATGGTTGTTATTTAGTTGTTATATGATCTTGGTTGGGTCCTAGATGGAGGCAGATTCTGTCCAATTTGTTGTGTCAACAAAGAAATGTAGGACAGGGAGTGGAGGGATGGAAGGGGAAAAGGAAGGTAAAAAGTAGAATAGTAGAACTAATTTGGGGAAGGCTAGTAGGAAATTTTTTTACTAATCTGGCAATATGTTAGTACTTAGTGTCAGCCTGTCAGGCTATAATTTGAATTGTCCAAGAGGATACATGAATAAAATGCCAAATGGAAGCATTATAGGGAATCTTGATATTAGTAATAATCAATAAGCAATGGTAAGTCTCCCGGTAATCCCAGTAGAATTGGAGTAAACTATTTTATTATTTACTGATGTAGATTAATAACATTTCGCCTTTATTTTCATAGAAGTTCTCAGCATGGTGGCACTGCTGCTACCACTGCATTTAGTAACCAAATTTGGAGTGAAGCAGTTAATTGATGTGGTTTATGTCTGTCACGTTAGATCATATTTGATAATAATCGATGGAAATATTGGGCATTGCTATTTTTATTGACTGGCTTATCTGCTTTGAAACTTTAAGCCCAATAATGCTACCCTTATGAAGTACTTTGGTTTTTCCGATTATCATACTTCTTTTCATGGACTTATTTTCACTGTTTTTGTTTGAATTAAGCATGTAATTTCTGCTTTTCTCATGCTTTAGGGAGGCATGCCAGGTGCTACCAATCTTAGAGATTGTGCAGTTCTGCAGAACATAATGAAGAAGCAAGCTGCAGATGGTCGACTTTATGCTGCAATCTGTGCTTCACCTGCAGTGGTGCTTGGATCATGGGGTTTGCTGAAGGGATTGAAGGTAAGTTTGCCGATATTTTCCTGGAGATTCAAGTCATGTTTTGGTTTTATGATTAATTACTTAATTAAACTTTCATCTAAAATTTTGACCTTAAAAGGCGACATGCTATCCATCATTTATGGAGCAACTGAGATCTACTGCAACTGCTGTTGAATCCAGAGTACAGCTTGATGGCCAAGTTGTGACAAGTCGTGGGCCAGGTACTACCTTGGAGTTTGCTGTTGCACTGGTTGAGCAGTTGTATGGGAAAGAGAAAGCTGACGAAGTTTCTGGACCTTTGGTACTGTGCTCTTCTCCGTTACTTTTTCTTAATCTTGGCTACACATTTTTTTTCAAAATGGAGGAGGAAGATGGACCTATTATTGTTAGATAAAGTGGGGGGAGTGAGACAATTACAGTGATGACATAGAGAACAAAGGAGATGGAGCAGAGTGGGGTGGCCATTCCTGAGAGAAGAGAGTACTTAATTGAGGAAGTTAAAAAAAGAAAACATGAAAGAAAAAAGCCTAGTGAAAGTTAGCCAATTGGCTTGAATATAGTCACTTGCATGCTTTATATATACCCTTATTTGGTGTGGTTGTCCTCACCCATGGTATACCCTAGTAAAACAACGAGGTACCTAAGAATGAAATAAAATTCCAAGAAAATAATGTACCTGTTTTGGCTACTGCTTTTGTTTATTATTTGAATTTCCTTTTCATCATATTTAGACATTAGTCAATTTCCAGAGTGAATAATGCTCTTATTTTCTTGTCAAAGTTCATGATTTGCTGCATCATTTACTTATACATGCTTTCTCTTTTAATGTCTAATCAGTTGTTGCGTTCCAACCATGGTGATGAATATACTATAGCTGAGCAAAATCAAGTAAAGTGGACATTTGATGATGGCCCCAGGGTAAGGTTTATTCTACTAGTTATTGCGACTGCAATATCTGTAACTTGCTTCTATTACTCATGTAATAATAGTCGCATCTGGTTACTGATGGAAGAGTGCTTAAAAATGCAAGTTCTTTCCTGTCATGTTTAAAATATGATGCATATATCTATTTCAATTTCCATATCTAATACTCCTGTACGTATATCTCATTGGAGACCTTGGATGCGAAGTCTACTGGTCTAGGGCAGAGATACTGAGGAAATAATTACTACTGATTAACATAGCCTCTGGAAATTTGAAACTTGTATTTTGATAGAAATGCAACTTGGATGTCTTTCAGAGGAAACAACTGAAAGTAATAGACAGCATTCTGCAAGGCAGCTGTCAAGAGCTCAGACCACCCGAGTAATGGAAATATTTGATGAGAATCTTATACTTTACCACAATTTATTAGTAGCATCTGCTTACCTGCAAAAGCTTCATATTAGATATGGACAAGTTATCTTCTGTTCTTGGGATGAAGAACACCTATAACCTGAGGCTTTTGAAAGAGTCGTAAAGTAACATGTTTTGGCTTGAAATTGAGGATAAACTGGGGACTTAAAACCAAATTTGATGTATGAAGAAATTTAAATCTTTTGTACAGCAATAAATATTGTATTTACACAATTTTGAATACCTTTTTAAGTAAGATGCGGATACCGATTACTATTTAGAAGTGGTCTTGTACTGTTGTACATTAGTTAACACAAATCACACCCATGAAGAATTTTCAGTGTTCTTGTGGTTCACTCAAATTCAATTGCTTATCAGCTTATATATCAAACACTATGAAGAATTTTCAAATAGTAATTTATTTATTAATTAAATAGTTTAATCTAAATAGTGTTTATTTGCATTTTACTTTTAGTCCAGAGATTATACTAACGCAAAAGCAATTAGTCCAACTAAAATGATAAGCTTGTTTTAATTTGAAATTAGAAGTATCTGGTGTATAATTATTATGCTTTGCTTTCAGATTCTTGTCCCTGTAGCCAATGGTACTGAGGAAATGGAGGCCGTTATGATCATTGACATTCTTCGACGAGCACAAGGGAAAGTGGTGGTTACTTCTGTTGAGAACAAACTAGAGATTCTCGCTTCTCGAAAAGTAAAACTGGAGGCAGATTTGCTTTTTGATGAAGCTGCTGAACAGTCATACGACATCATAGTCTTGCCTGTAAGTATGAGTTTGAGTTTTCAGTTATAATGCGTTAATGATTGATTAGAATTAAAATTAGACCTCCATGCTTGCAGGGAGGGCTTGGTGGCGCTGAAGCATTTGCAAAATCTGAAAAATTGATTAATTTGCTAAAGAAGCAGAGACAATCAAACAAACCCTATGGAGCAATATGTGCATCCCCAGCTCTGGTCTTTGAACCCCATGGCCTGCTGAAGGTATCATTTTACCATATTTTCATTTACTTTCATCTCCTGATTATGGCCCTAGCCCCTATGTACCAAGATCACCCCAAATGGAAAATGCCAATAGATTTCTTTTCCACCATTTCGAAACATTTTGAAAAGTGAAGTCAAATTTTGAAAGTTTTTAAAAACTAGTTTTGGTAAGAAGCGGTTGACAAGCCCGCATGATTTTTAAAACATAAAACGAAAACGAAATGATTCTTGAATGAGGCATAATTTTCACTAAACGTGTATCTCTGGTAATTAATTGGTCCTTTAATTGCATGCTATTCCAACAAGGGGAGCCTTCATATAAATCGTGCATATCTATAAGTAAGCTCAGTAAATTGCACTGTGAATATTTTGAAAACGAGACTCTTCCTATGTACTTTTTTTCTTATCCCACACGATTTCGTGCTAACTGTCATTCAAGAACTTTAACTAATGCCAGCTTTTTACTTTTCATTTATATATAGTACGTACGATCTCAATACAAAAGTGTATTTGCTCCATTCTCAGGACAAAAAAGCCACTGCTTTTCCTGCATTATGCGAAAAACTGTCCGACAAAAGCGAAGTCGAAAACAGGGTGGTGGTTGACGGAAACCTGATTACAAGCAGGGGGCCAGGAACCACGATGGAATTCTCTCTGGCAATAGTGGAGAAGCTGTTTGGAAGGGACAAAGCAGTTCAGCTGGGAAAAACGATGGTGTTCATTTGCGATTAAACGTCAGTTCGACCATTCTCACTGTGAGTCTTTCATCTTCTTAACTACTATGAAATGGAATGGCTTGTTTGAACTAGGAGAGCTGGTTTCTCATTTGAATGTGCCAATCCACTTCTAAATTTTGTACAGATGTTTGTGGAATAATAAAATGAGCTATGTAAAGCCTGAGATGCAAGGTCAAAACTTGAGGTTTTCTTTTTGAGTCCATATAGGAGATAATTTTGGGTGATTGAGCTTTTTCGGGATTGACCTTCAACCTAGGAAAGATAAGGTGACTCATCTGCTGAGCTACGCTGTTTTTTGCTTTCACTTTTTCCTTGAAATGCAAATAGACCCCGACAAGTACAAGGAACTATGTTTCGATGTAATTGTGGGAGTCAGCGTAAACCCAGTGATTTAATCTATTGTGTTTCTACACAATGGATTAATTCGATGGGTTTAACATCATATTTCTATTATATCGTAAAAATAATGTTTGAAATGTTGATGTCAATAGGCCAACTTGAGCTTAGCTTAGCACAACGGTAATTGGTACTACCAATCTTTGATGAGGTCATGAGTTCAAATTTCTCAATTACCTGGTACTAAAAAAAGAAATGTTTGATGTTAATAGAAATGTTGAGGTTTGTTTTTTCCTTTTTAATGAAAATGTCTATGTCAACTGAAATTTAGAAATTTTTTTGGAAATAATTGAAATTGTAATTAGTAATTAAGATTTCACTTGGAGCTTAATTAGTCGTCAGTTTACTTTTTAATGTTCATATATCTAAAAATAGATGTGGATGGGAAAGTTTGGGGGAAAAATAAACAGAGAATTGGAAACATGGAAATTCACTAAAATTGTTTGAATTAATTAATGATGCTTTAATTTAATCTATAACTTAATTTTGACATAATGCATCATTTTAACTAGTCATATTCATAAATAATATTGGTATAGTTACAAAATTAAGAGAGAACAAATGATGGTAGAGGAATGCATTATAGGTTTTTAGGTGGAGGGCAGGGGAGAGAATATATTTTATTTAATTTTTCACGAAAAATTATAAATTTTCGCAAGATTAATGACATCATGATAAATAAATAATAAATATTAAAAACAGCCACGTCATTTTCCCTATAAAATAAGAAGTGGCAGGAACGAGAGGGAGGGAGCATTATTAAAGCGTCAGATTTTGAAATGAAACTTAAAATTCAAAGTCCATAAATGAAACTTATCTTATTTTACAATATTATATATTTTATAATATATTACATTTCACATTTTTTAGGTTTTACAAAAATAAGATAAGTTTATAACTTAATACAATATATTTATCAAAGTTTTTTATCTTTTACATTTTTAAGTTTCAAATTCAAAATATGAAAACACGATTACAGAATTTTCACTATTTGAGTTACAAAATTCGAAAATAGTTTTTGAAAACAAATCTGTCAAATAAGTATATATTGAATATGAATATCGAAACAAGAAAAAAAACGACCCTAAATTTATTCAATTTGACTTTTAACGATTGCTTCAAAACTTGTCTAAACATTGAAAATTTTCCTTCCATTCATGTCAAATAAGTATTCATTGAATGTAAATATGGAAACAAGAAACAAAATGACCATAAATTTTCAGAGGATGGAATTTGGGGATTGAATAATAAATTCAATTTGGCTTCCAAGGACTTGTCTAAAAGTTGAAAATTCTCATTCCACTCGTTTTAAATTTGGACAGTTTCTCTGGCACAAAGTCTGTGACATCTATGACACGAGTAAATTAAAATATTTTACTGCAAAAACAAATTTAGCATAATACTTTTTAGGTTTCCCCTTAATATCAATAACAAACTAAGTTTCTATGTCAAAAGAGTCCGAGCATACGGTAATTGACACATATTTTCAACAAAAAAAAAATTGTGAGTTCGAACTTCCACCTGTTTGTTAAAAAAAAATTGTAAAAGCAAATGGTGCCCAAAATTTAGAAACTCTTTTACATTTGCCTTTTTTATTTTTTTTTAAAAAATAATGCTTAAAGAATAAGCATTATCTTTATCTTGTAATCTATTACAAAGATCATTTTATAGAATTAGTTTTCAAAGTTTTTCTTTTCATCTATGAACTATGGTTTTGTTAATATAATTGTATCTTTGACGTAAAGACAAACCAAATTTAATCAACTTTAATTATAGTAAATATCTAGGATATGGTACAATATTTTGTTATTTTGATAAACATGGGAAACACATTGATATTAGTTATATTTACTAGTCTATTTAATCAACGGTATAACAAAAGTCACATGATATGATAAAAAAAATGACTACTTGTCCAAAAAAAGAAAGAAAAAAAAGAGAGAGATCACTTTTGTTGACCAAGGTTTTGTAGGGTGTATCTCCTTTTTTACTTTGTTTGATGGGAATCTTGGAGGAGTCAATCACATTAGGGTAACTTTTTTACGCAATTATCGCTCTACCAGAAAATTTTCTCCCTACCATATTGCTTGGTAGTTTCCAATCCAACTAATAACTGCAACGACCCAATTACAAGAGTAGTTATTCATTTTCCTCATCAGGATCGAAATTTAGACAAACGGGAGTTATGGATGTAATTTTCATTTTAGTTCGAGAGTGGAGAATTGAACTATCGAACTTTGAGATAGTAATAAGTATTTTGTCCAATAAACTATCTTAGATCGACCAGGTTAAGGATGCATTATTCATCTCCGATCTTGCGTAGATTTTTAATTATTGTTTCTTTATCCCATTTCTTTATTTAGAAAATTAATTTAATGAACCTATTAAAATTAAGAGGTATTTATACTAGTTTAAATAATTATCTCCAGAAAAAACATTTGATATTTTCCCATTCTTATACCTTTGGATCTATGGTTTTTATGTGTTTCATCCCTAGTATATTAAATATAAATCAATTTATCTGGGGCCACCATGCTCCGTTTAGCTATTGTGTAGTTTTCTTTCTGGGCAATTGCCCATTCGTCTTCCGAAAAAAAAATATATATATAAATCACTCTTTCACTTTTGATAGGACATATATAAACTTTCATTCTCCCTAGCTCATTTTGTTGTTTTGGAAAACAACAACGTATTTTTTATCCTCCACTCCTCCCTAAAAAATATAGGAAAATTTTTCCATTCATCGTTTACTCTATTTTAAACGAGAATCATCTACTTCACTTTCAAAGTCCTGTAGTGATTAAATCTACAATTTATTCTCCTTTAATATGTGTGTGAAATCTCATCCTTATAATACGATCTTTCATTTTTCTTTTTTTTTTTAATTCATGAGTGTCCATATCAGCTTGCGCGCATCTCGACTAAGATCGTGGGGTGGTCGCTTGACCGTACAATATTTGGTGCCAAAAAATACATAGGAATTAATTCATAAAGTAAGTGAATACAATTTTTCATTTTTCATATCACAAATATAAATCTCCTCATTTTGTTTGTTCGCGCGAAGATTTGTAACTTTCTTTGATATCAAAAGAGACATCCACTTTAAAGAAGAAAAAATATCAACTATAGGGATTTCAAGTCACATTCTAACAGTTAAAAGAAGACGATTGGATTTGTCTTTAATGGATAATTGGTTAGAGAGAGGTTAAAGGATGAAACAAAATTTTATATTAAATATAAAGTTGGCCCTTTATTTCATAAAAGAATAAACTAAAATTAAATATATCAAAATAATTCTCACCTTAAAAAAAAATAGAGTCACTTCATTAACATGGGTTAAATTATAGAAGTTAACTCAAATTTGACTGCCCAACCAAACATGGGCCAGTCAAATTCTCATAAGTAATTGGGTAAAAAAGGTATTAGAATTTGTTAACACAAACTAATATAGGAATAAATTATTATTTTAATTATATATTTGGACAGGTAGACACGTCACTTGAACACCCCACTTGAAATAAATGATTTTTATTAATTGATTGGTCAAATTTTACTAATGAATGTCGTTTATTGGCATCTTTGTCAATTCAAATATGTTAATAAAATAATAATTTAATAATATTATAAACAATTTTTGAAATTTTTTAACACTGTAATTGAAGGTTATAAAAAATTAAATAACCGATTGAGAATTATTAGTTGAAGAGTGTATTTTGACTGCACAAACAAATCTTCTCTGTATCGTTCCAATTTTATCAAATAGTTGAAGAGTGTATTTATTATTAATATATATATATATATATATATATACCTTTGCAAAAAAAAAAACATATATATATAGACACACATATATATATTTGTTAATTTAGTAAAAGTCATTACTTTATTTATTAATTATGGCCCACCAATCACTAATAACACTTTTTTTTTTCTTTTCTTGTTAGAGTAACCATCTAATAAATAAGTGGATGCTATCATGATGAACTTTATATAATATATTATTCAAGAAAAAAAAAAACTCTATATAACATTGCACCTGCATTTAAAAAAAATCATTACAGGTAAAAAAGAAAAAGTTGACTTATAAATTTATTTTTTGAACCTTAAAGATCTTTAATTGATTATGCTTTTATAAAGTCAATTCGGTTAAAATACTATTAACTGAATGTTGATAGAAAATACTTATTAAATTAATTTTTAGCGGGTTGAAATTTTTAAAATTTAGAGATTAGGTTAAAATTCTAAAACTTACCATCAATTTTTAAAAAATTAAATGATGAAACATTAAACACTAATAATAATAAGAAAACACACATTTTTTAAAATTAAATTGACGCCAATTAAAACATAATTTAATGGATAAGGTGACGTTTCGATCCTAAAATTGGAAAGAAAATTGTTAATGCTCCAACTCATTTGGATAAGACGTTAACTAGATAAGAAAATTTTCAATATTCCCGTAATTTGTTTACGAATAATTTTTTGATATTAATAAATCCCACGTCATTTTTAATACAATGTTGACATGAGAAACGGTGAATGAAAAGAGTATCTATATTTTTTTAATTTATTCTCGAGGACAATTTATGGTACTACGAGGTACTCTTTATTCACACCACCATTTTTAGTTATAAATAACTCTTTAACGTGATCTCACACAATTTTCAAATAATACTCACATGACATATCATAAATAATAATACTATCTGTACTACAAACTTTACTAAATTTTTTTTCATTTTTTTTATTGGATTAAAAAGTCGAAATTTCGAATTGGACCAGAAAAAAAAAAAAAACATTTGAAGAACTAAAGTTTGTAAAAGTTCATAACAATTGGGTTATGCTTCGTTGGCGGACGCGCGTAGTTAGCCAAAAACGACTGTTCCTCTGAAGACCAAGAAATTCCACGCGCAAATTCCCAACTCTAATCTCTTTCTCTCTGCGATTTTTGTTGCATTTCACTGATCAGAAGCCAGAATTTCTATGTCTGTTCTGTTTTGTTGATTGAATGCAGCGGGACTCTATTCGTGTTACTGTTTGATTCTTTATTTGCTCTGTTATCGCAAAACTCTCCCCGGGTCAGAATTGCCGGAGACTTGTTACGGTCCAGGTGAGTTGAGTTTTTGAAGTCTGCGTTTCACTTGGATGAGAATTGAAGTTGGAATAACTGTAGTTTTGAATGATTTTCCGTATTTTGTTCTGGCTTTTCTTCTGTTCAATGTTAGATTGAATTAGCATTCAAGGTGGTGCTCGTTGAGTTTTCTGTGATTTTCTGGAGTTCTCGATGGTGTAGCCGAAGCAGCGTAAATTTTAGCTCAGTTTTGTTAGCAAACTGTTTTGGCTCAAGCAGCCTCTTAAATCGGTGCTTACTAAGAAAAGGGGATGCCTGAATGGATTATTTTTTCAGTTTATCCAGATGGAATTATATGAAACGCAAGAGCGTTCTCGGTTTATGAGTACTTCATTTGGATGGAATTATATGAAACGCAAACGCAAACGCAAACGCAATAGAGCTATTATTTTTGCAGCAAATGAATGTTATCAGGTCTTTCTAATTCGCCTGCTTGCATCACTGACAGCGAAGTTTTGGGGACGATTTCTTGAATTATGATTTATATCAATCCATAGATTACAGTGTCTTTATTAAGCTTAGCATTTGCTGAGCGATTCCAATTTAAACAAGAAAGTTATCTCTAGAAAGTGGAAATTTACCGGGAATAATCTTGATTCTCGAAGTGGCCAGGATATAATGGACAGTGCTGTCTTTAATTCTTAACGTTTGTTTAGATATGTTTAAACACATCAGAATCCCCACAGTTGAACCATTAGTGGGGCGATCCTTGTTTTTTTATACAGTTCTTTGGGCAATTTTTTTTTTAGTACAACAACTAGGGCAATTTTTTGTATGCCAGCTTCTCTTACTTCTTATTAACTTTTTCTTCTAATAAAATACATCATTTCTTGTTAAAGAGGTTGTTCCAATTATAGTATTCATTTTCTTTGGATGTTAAATGATTATCAGCTTCCTCTATTTTCCCTCTTCCTTTGTTTATGGGATAATTCAAGAAGAAACTTGAGTACTTGACCAACTAACAATATGGGTATATGTCTAAAATTGAATTTCTTAATGGCAGAGATTTGATTCGTTGGATCAGAAATTGAGCATAATATAGGTTGTGATGACTTGTTTCCCTTGTTGTTCAAGAAGAAAGAGAGATTTGTTCGCTGCTCCAACAACAACAGCAGTCGAAGGTAGGTTGGTTTAGCTTGAATTAGCACAAGTGATTCTGCAATAATTTATTCGTATATGATGATTGTTTGTTATATGGATACTAGGCTAGAATTTGGCTGCACTGCACCATACCACAGCATGATGAACACTAGTTATTGCTTAAATGAATAGGTCTATACTGATGGAAGGGGATCCAATCCTCAACAAATCAATGGATTTCTTGAAGTTTTTTAAGTGTAAAATTGCTTGAGGTGGACCATAGATCACCGTAATTGGATGCTTAAAAGTATAATTCCAACCTTCTATGTTCTATCTCTAGGAAAGGGGAAGGCCTGTTGATAGAAAGGGACTACTGTTGTTCTCTGAGTCCTAGATTAAAAAGAGAATTGCGGGTTTTCTTCCTTTAATCTCTATTTCTCTCTGTCCTTGGATGGCAGTGTTTGTCTAAGAGTGTATGAATTTCCAACTGTTTACTATAATTAATTCTTCTAGGAATGTTCTGCAGCGAACTTCCTGCCGCCATAAATTTTTCTCTTCTCTTCTCTTGCAGTGAACTTCCTGCGCCGTTAATTTTTCTCTCCTCTTCTCTTCTCGTCTTTTCTTTTTTGGGTAATTGCAAATTCTATGTTGTAACCTCATCCTCTCACAAGTTTACCTGACAACCCAATTGCCCTTGATCCTTCATTGGCTTTTACACTCTCTGCCTTCAATTGTGGTAAATAAATTAGATTAAGTTTCTCTCCTTTTTCCCTCTTTCTTTATGAAGCCAGGCTAGTTTTATAGCCTTCCATGGTGAAGGAAATTGGTAAACAAAACCTGGTTTCATCATGTAGAAGAACTGATAAATCATCAAACTTGTTTACCTCTTCTGAGCACCGAGACTTTTTCTAGACCCATATGCTTGAATTTTTAAATGACATTGTTTAAGCTCTGTAATAGGTTTATTTGATACGGAGATTTCAAATATTCAGAACGTTCGCTTGTACTCATATGAAGAACTTAGAAAAGCAACTGAAAATTTCAGGTCTGAAAATAAACTTGGACAGGGAGGCTTTGGATCTGTCTACAAGGTATAATAACAGCTTCTTGTTGTATCTTGATGATAACTAATGTCCAAAAGTTTTTTCTTCAGCTTTCCTGGAACTGAATCCTGTTTTGCATACTTATTGACTTGAGCAGGGAAGGCTCAAAGATGGAACGCTGGCTGCCATAAAGGTACTATCCGTGGACTCAAGCCAAGGGACACGGGAGTTTTTGGCAGAAATCAATGTGATTACATCTATAAACCATGATAACCTGGTTAAGTTGCATGGTTGTTGTCTGGAAGGGCACCACCGGATCTTGGTCTATCCTTACCTAGAAAATAACAGCCTTGACAGGACGCTTTTTGGTGGTTCAATATCTTGTTCTGTTTTAGTCCTCAGTTTTGTAGTTTTCCCATAAATGACTTAATCTAATGGACCTTCTTAACATAGGTAGAGGACAAGGGAATGTCCAATTCAATTGGCAAACAAGGTGTAAAATATGCATCGGTATTGCACAGGGGCTCACATTCCTTCATGAAGAAGTTCAGCCACATGTTATCCACAGGGACATCAAAGCAAGCAATATCCTTCTTGATAAGGACTTAACCCCAAAAATTTCTGATTTTGGTCTTGCTAGATTACTCCCTGCTCACTTGACCCACATTAGTACACGTATCGCTGGGACAACGTAAGTTGTGCATACTAGTGGATGTAAAATTTTAATCTCTGAAAACTACAGTGCTAAATCCTCTGAAAACAATATGTACTCACCCTACGTTATCTAGTATCTTTTTCTGAAAAGCTGGGTGACTGTTTGTGTTCAGAGTCCTCATGTAGTGTATTCCATGACTGTTCTCACTTTGCATTAAGTTTTATTTAAGTTTGTATGACTGTCTATCCTATTTTGTATTTTAGACATCCATACCAGATGGCCTAAAACTGACATGTATGAAAGAATCTACACACAAGAAATATGCTGCTATACATGTTTATAGGATTTCATACTTTGTCTTAGGAATTTTTCTGATCTAATTGGAACAGGCAATGATAGTAAAAGGTGATGCTGACAGATTGTATGTCCAATGCTAACTCGTGCCATTATTTTAAATGGTCTGTATTCTCTTAGGAGTTGGGAGTCTAGGACTATTGCTCCTTCCATTTTCCTCTTTAATAACCAATAATTTTAACCCTTATTTATCCACTGAGTTTGAATTAGAAGCAATTGTCTAACTTTGCGATATTCGCATCATTGTACTCAACACTGTGTAATGTTCTGATGGTGCCTCTTGCTTATCCAAGAGAGCTTCTGGTCCCCACTAACCTTAGTCCTCGTGGTTTACTAACTACATGTTCTGACAAGCATCCTTATTCTATGGTCTTGCAATCCCCCCTTACTTGCAATCTTACCATTTTTACTTTCTTCTGTAAAAAAAATGAAAAAAACTTACTCTGCTGCTGTATTGTGAAGAGGTTATATTGCACCTGAATATGCCATACGGGGGCAAGCGACAAGAAGAACAGATATTTATAGTTTTGGTGTCTTACTCGTGGAGATTGTTTGTGGGAGGCACAACATAAACAGACGGTTGCTGGCTGAGGAACCATATCTTCTTGAAATGGTATGCATTAGTTGCTGTTTTAGATGACAGAAAATAAAAGGTGGGGTGGGATGTAGTTGGAGTTATTTGTTGACTGGACTGTATAAGTCAAAGGAAAGACCATTGATAATAAGATATTCCTTCGTATAATTGATATCAAAATTATTTGATTAATTATGATGAGCATCCTAACCTACCCAACTGGACTGTATTAATGTTATTCTTAGGTTTGTTTAACTTCTAGATTCATACAATGTTTTTTTTTCCTAAGATGAACTAGTGTTTTTCAACCTAGCCATCCTCGGCCCTAAGAATCCAAAATTTCGTGTACAATATTTAGCTGAGTATTACACTTGAGTACAGCATTATAGTTTTCTCAACATGGTCCAATATTTGTTCGAAATTTAAGGTAAATATTTCTTTTGTTATGGCATTGGATGTAATATTAAATTCAGAATACAACCAAGACAAAAACGAAATCATAACTGCAAGAGTTACCTTACGTTTGGAGGTGAATTTCCTAGAAAGATCTATTTTATCATTGACAATGCTATTATGCCATGAGTTCCAGGATCATATAATACATAACTTTGAATACTTTTATCAAAGATTGATAGGTGCCCATACATTTTTCATTAATCAGACTACTGCTTCTAGTTCTCTTCCCCCGGGCCTCAAGCTGTTCTTTAGGTCTGTGCTTCATTTTGGTTATTTTCATGGCTCTATGCTTCTGCTTCCTTGTGTATACACGATATTACATCAGATGCTTTTATGTGTGATATGGTATGTGAAGACGCTGAGTTGTTAATGAAAACATGAAAAAGAACTCTCTCTTACCAGAACATGCGTGAGAGAATCATTAAATTCATATTATGTTTGAGGAGGGACTGGTAAGTGAAACCTAGAAAAGAGGAAGGCAAGCTAATTGGAGCTTTGCTCTAATCTCACTTTATCTTTTGTCTTTTAAATGAATGTAATCTATTCTTTATGTAAAATGATTAGTGATTTGTAAGCAACCGTAAGGACAAAATTAACACTTCAAATATTCTCGCTTTATGCGACTTGATTTGGTTTTTAAGTCGAATTATTTAAGGTGTTTGTTTATTTGTATATAATAATGGAATTTGGAGAACAGGGGGAAATGTGGCATTTTAAGAACTGTACTTATCCCTAGAAATTTTTCTAAGGAGGATGGAAATATTGATGAATATAGACAGGACCAGCATCCTTTTGTAATAAAATGTGAAGAAAATATTCTATCATGCAATGGCTAATTTGGAATGTATTTTCAGAGTTTTAATGTGTGATGGTTTTAACAAAGAGATGTAAATTCTGCAGGTGTGGGAGCTTCATGAGAGAGGGCAATTGCTGGAATTGGTAGACCGATCCCTACATGGAGACTTTGATGCCGAGGAGGCCAGCAGATATTTAAAAATTGGTCTTCTCTGCACCCAAGATATGCCAAAACTTCGGCCATCTATGTCGACCGTCGTGAAGATGCTTACAGGTGACATTGATATATCTGATCAAACAATATCTAGACCAGGAATGCTTTCAGAGTTCATGCTACGGAAAGATGTACTAGCCAAGAAAGGCGAGTCCGATTTGAAGCTTGCATCAACAACTGAAGACTCGGGAAAGCCAATTGATTCAACTTCATCATCAGGGTACATGGATACCTCATTTGCAACCATGACCTTCAATTCGATATTTGATCGTAGTAACTGAGTTAGAAATTATTTGTCAGTCAGCGAGCCTTCTAATTGAAGGGAGGTATATTTATTTTTTTTTTTTGGTTCTATCTGAATATTTGAACTCTACTAGGACACTTTTTCCACCTTCATGGGTCACATAGATTTTTACTGTTGCTGTCTTGAAGGATTTCTCAGTGATGAATTTTCAGTGAGAAAATATATTGTTGCTACTTTTCTTGTTGGAGAAGAGTTTTATCGTGCGACGTGTTATTTGCTCAAGGTGTGTATTGAATTATTCTTTGTATCTTTGATCCTGTTGGCATGAAAATAAAATCCACCCTTCTTATGTTTTATTATTCCCATCATGTTGATATATTTGCATATAAAAGATATGGAGCTGCTTGATGTGTTGTGCATTTTAATTGTTACATCTTTATCTCTCTCTCTCTCTTTCTATTTAGGGAAAAGAAAAAACAGGAAAATGCTCTATTCAGAAACCCAAAACCAAAAAACAGAACCTATATTTCTTTTTCAAAATGAATGATCTCTTAAGGATAAACCAATAGCTTCAGGATCAATATGGGATGTGCCCTGATCGAACTTATTGTATGAAAAATGATGAATTTGAAGTCTTATTTCTTCTGTATGAAGATGTAACATTAGTAACATTCTAAAATTTTCAACAAAATCTGAACAAAGAAGGTATAAATAAATTTGAATGAAGTGAAGAAGAAAGAAAAAATACAAAGAAAACAAATATCTATCCATATCCCTGGCTATAAATCTAGCTTCTAGCTTCTGGTTCTGTTACATCTGTACCACAAGATCACAAAAGAGAGGATTCTGTACCCAACAATGAAACCCAACATCACTGCCAAATTGCTCCATTTTTGTGACTCTTTTAGACCTTGTTGTCTTAAGAACGTTTCTCCATATGTTGTACAGGCTCCCTGTTTTGATTCTATGCATCTCCTCTTCCCTTGGTCTCCTCCATACTCATTTATCAGAAAACACTCAAATGGGTACTTGAAAAGACTCAAATAGTGCATGAAAATCCAGTAGTTAGGGATGTCGTTCTTTGAGATGAAATAACCAGAAAATAGAAAGAAAGATCCCATTAGCCCTGATATTACTGAGGTTCCTGTAATGAAGTTCGGGATGAGAGCACTGAAACATGATACGAAAGAATTGGACATTAGGACAACCATCCAAATGACTAGGGAGAAGTAGAAGAACCCGGAAATGTCGTTTTTGAAACCAACCAACCAGTAAACAGTGGCTGCAAAGAGGAGAGAGACCATCAGAAGGAAAGGGAGGAAGATGAGGGTGTTTGCTAGAACATAGGAAGATACTCTGTAAGCACCTCTTGATGTCTCTCTCAATAGGATCGTTCTCTCTCTCAGGAAGATTGGGAGACCCTCTGTGGTTGAAGACAGCAAGAAGGTGAGACTAAAGGCGAAAAACCCTAGCCGGGTTTGCAATGCAGTTTTTCCATTATCATTCCCAGTTTTGAAGAATATGGTCCCAAGTAGCAATCCAGCTACCAACGCTTGAATGACTCTCGTGGCGAAGAGTTGTTTGGTTCTAAATGTGTTTTTGAAAAATCTTTGTCCTAGTATAACGACTTCCTTGGATCGAGAATTCTGGTAAGAAACATGTTTTTCGTCAGTCTTCTCGAGGCATGGAACTCTTATTGTCTGATCCTCAATGTTGTTTTGTAGGTAATGGAGTTTGTTGAAAGTTTCTGAAGTATGCATCGCCAAGCTGTCCACAACATCAATGGCATATTCAAGCACATTGACATGGTGTGGGATCTGATGATTAGCAAGCTTAAGCCTCTCCTCAAGATGATTCAATGATCCATCATGCATCACAATTCCATTCGAAAGCAGAATCAGACGATCGAAAAGTTCCAGGATTCGAAAACCGGGTTGATGGATGGTTAAAAGAACAGTCTTACCTTGGTTAATGACCATTCTTCTAAGCACTGAGACCACATGAAGTGCTGAGACTGAATCCAACCCTGAAGTAGGTTCATCAATGAAAATCACTGCTGGGTCATGAACCAATTCAACTCCAATTGAAACCCGCCGCTTTTCACCCCCTGAAATGCCTCGGTTCGATCCTCCTCCAACCCTCGATGCTGCTACATGTTCCAACCCGAGGTCCTTCATCAGCTTCCTCACTCTAGATTCCGCTTCTTTTCTCCCACCAGAAAGCCTCAGCAGAGCACTGTACATGAGTGTTTCTTCAACTGTGAGTAAAGGGAAGAGAGCATCATCCTGTGTGACATATCCCGAGATTCTCGGAAACACCTTCTCAACCATATGCTGATCATTAACAAGCACTTGGCCTGAAATCTTCCTCAAAGGTATGTTTCCTCCAAGAATCTCTAGTAATGTTGTTTTTCCAGCTCCACTAGGACCAGCAATAGCTGTAATCTCCCCACCTCTGGCTTCACAATTCACATTCTTCAGAATGAACTTTGGACCTCTCTTTGGATTCCCACCACCACACAGCCAATTCAATCCATCAATACTCTCACTTATTTTGTAACAAAGATTTCTGGCTTGTATTCTGTACTGGGTTCTTCTCTGGTTACCTGAAATAGGCCTCTTCATTGGCAAGTCCATGAAGAAGATAGACAGAGAAAGAGTGAGAGAGAGATAAACGATTAGAGAGAGAGAGAGAGAGATTGATTGTTAGAATGGCAAATAAGGAAAGGAGATGAGCTAACCCACCAAACTGAGGAATATTGTGGTAGTTATATATGTGAGGGCAAGAAGAGGAAGCACAGATATTTCCTTTCACAGGCTTTGGCTGCTTTTGAACAGGATTTGACTTGGCTTTGCCCTCATGTCCATTCTCATTTCTAGGCTAAGATATGAGGTTTTTGGTCAAGTTTGGTAATTTGGGGAAGCTTCAAAAAAGTTAGGTATTTGAGAATGGAGAGACAGAAGAGATGGATGAAAATGCAGAGATGTTAGACTACAATTAAACTCAAAAGTTCAAGATGATAGACTATGGTAAATAAAAAAACTTCACATTCTAACACTCCTTCATTCATTTTTTTTCCTTTTATAACTCGGAATCGAATCTATTTTGTATTTGAATTTGCCATAAGACCCGAACCTAGGAGATATCAAGGATTTCAGGTGTTAATCTCATCTAGAAGTTCGTGAATGAGACCTTTTGGTAGGTGTTACTAATCGGTCTCATTCCCTAGCCAACACGGCTGTCTCTTGGAGGCCTCCCTCTCATTCGTGAGCTTGAATTATGACATGACTAAACAAGACTATCAAGAACAATCGAGAAGGAAATAACATTATAAGAGTTCAAACACAGAACTTCTAGTTTATGATACCACGTTAAGATATCAACAGATGTTAAAGTTTAAGCTGATAAGTCTTGGTAAGTCGAATCTTTTTCTTTTTGCGGTAGAAATGTAGAGAGAGAAAGAGAAATAGAAATGTAGAGAGAGAGAGGGGTGTCATGACTGTGTTTGAGAAGCAATATTGGGAGTTAATTTCTGGTGAGCTGCAATGTTGACCAGAGTTTGAGTTGGGTTGCTTCACCATCTTTTGCCCTAACTCTTTTAATTTAACACTTCATCCGTTTGGTTTGAGGATTCTATGTTCACCGCCGAGGCCATGCAACTTTGGTACACCCACCCTTCAAAATTCGACACGTGTCCTTTCATTATCTGCGAGTTCGTTATTTTTTGGGATGATTGGATTTGGATTACGTGTCAAGTTATAACGGTTGGCTGCTTTTGGTCATATTACTAAGATAACCATAATTATTTTTAGCAATTTGTTTTCTCATAACAAAAATGTGCATGAATTCCAATACCCCTTTTTTGGGGCAACTTATCAGTTTTTTTTATATTTATATAAATGATAGGTTTTTTTTTAAATAATAAAATTTTATTGTTGAAATTGTCATGAACTTTCAATTCCGTTAAATTGTACCTTAAACTTGGATTAGTGTTGCAACTTTTATACGAAGAACCATTAAAAAAAAGTAGTATCATGTAACACTAGAGTTGGTTATTTAAAAAATAAAAATTGTGAGTGTTGTAAAGTTGATCAATGGTTCATTTTTGCACAAACTTAACTTTGGGTAAAACTTAACCTTGTTTTTTAGATTAGTGAATTTGTTTAGATTTTTACTTTAAGTTTTGTTTAAATTAGTGGGTGAATTAGTGGAAATTGAACGAAAGGTAAAAATTGCAACACATATCTTAGTTTAGGGTTCAATTTGATGAAACTGAAAGTTTATGGTGAAATTAGTGGGTGAATTAGTGGAAATTGAACGGTGAAATTAGTGGGTGAATTAGTGCTGAAAGTTTATGGTGAAATTAGTGGGTGAATTTGCAATATATATGTTTGTTCTTTGTTTGCTATGTGGATTAGGGGTGCAAGGAAAAACCGATAAAACTTATTAAACCGACTAAATCGATTGAAACTGACGACGTTCGATTTTGGGGTGGTTCGATTTTCGGCTTCAAATTAGAAAATTATAAAACTTGAATTTAATCGGTCGGTGTCGGTTCGACTTGTCCAAATCGATTAAGAAACCGTCCAAACTAATTAAAGGAGTTATTTAGGGTGCGTTTGGTGGGTAATAAAAAAACAGAAATATGAAAACAAGAACCAGAGTTTGTATTCTTTATTTTCATTATTTTCAAATATGTGTTTGGTAGTAGATTTGGTAATTGAATCTCAATTTAAAAAATCATTCAATACGTGTTTAGTAATAGGCGTTACAAACTAAATATTTAGGTTAATCTAAAGTTATATTAATTAATTTATTAACATTATTTATGAATTTTGTATAATTATTATTTTACAACGCTATATAATTTAGAATACATTATATTTTACATGTTTTAATTTTAACAAACATATTAACAAACATAAAAATGAGTTTATAATACGAAGTAATATATTTATCAAAGTTTTTATTCATTTTAATGTAATTCTGCATTTTAAAATTTTCAAATTCTAAATCTGAAAACACTCAAAACTTACCGTTTGAATCACATAATTCGAGAAAAGGATCACATAATTCGAGAAAAGTTGTAAAAAACGAAATTCTCAAAAACAAAATCCGAGTTACCATTCAAACATAGCCTTATTGATTACCACTCAATCCATTTGACAAACCACGACAAAATTAGAAACCTAATTTTTGTTTCCCTTTTCCGTCCCTCTACTTGTATCATTAAAGGTGGGGATCAAACTCATAACCTCTTGATCAAAGATAGGTGTCTTAACCACTTGAACTATATTCGGTTTAACAACTATAAATTATGATTTGTTAAGTATAAAATGTAGTTATAGAAAATAAATTATAAAATCTACCTTTTAAAATATGTAAGATGTAATATATATTATTATATATTATATATAAATTGCTTAATTATGAGCAGCTTAGTTGGTCAAATTGTAAATTCAAATACAACTCAAGCATAGTTGAAACAAGACAGCCAATGTTAAATATTTCTAGGTTTATAACTTTTTTTTTCTAATGTACACATAAGTGATTTTTTTTAGTTACAATAATAAGTGCAGATTAAAAAAATTTCAATATGTAGACGGGAGATTAAGCCTTAATCAATTAAGTTATATTTAAGTTGCACATATATATACTAGTGTATTACCACGTGCAATGCACTTAACATTTTTTTTAATTATAAGGTAACTTAAATTTTATATAATTTCACGTAAAATATTTTAAGTATAATTATTTTTAAAAATAATTAAGATTAATTTTTATATATATTTATTATTATTGACAGCTAATTACTAATAATAAAATGTACTATTTATAATTA